GTTTGCACTGATATGTGCCCACCCCAACCCCGCCCACGTGCTAGGAACTGCAGCACATGGGTAGGGGCGGACGCGTGCACCTTAAGGGCAATGCACATCATCTCCCACACTCCCCCTGGCCCATTGACCTGTGAGCATTGGGGCATGCTTCAACAAGATGATGCTGCTGCCACCGTTTCTGTCCTTGGAGGCCACTGGGCATGAGCCACCGCACCAGTTGTTAGGCGCCCCCCAACCACCAAATGCTCCTTGCTGATGAACTGCATTGGCCCCCCGCTTTCTGAGATCCACAATCCCCCGCTTTCTGAGACAAAGGCCGGCCTGCGAACTCACCTGTCACAAAGCCCTGCACAAAGCAAATGCAGCCGAGCACATCCTCGAGTCACCTCCCAGCTTCACCAACCTGCAAAGAGCTGTCTACACGGAGCTTGTCGCAGAGGTCCGTGACTTGGGCGTCATAACCTGCGTATAACCTCGTTTGCACTGATATGTGCCCACCCCAACCCCGCCCACGTGCTAGGAACTGCAGCACATGGGTAGGGGCGGACGCGTGCACCTTAAGGGCAATGCACATCATCTCCCACAACCTCATAACCCTAAAGCCTACACCCTAAGCCCAGAAATTTGGGGCCAAAGAGCCAGGGCTTTGCGAGGCATGGGGATCTCCCGAAACCTTGCTGGTTTCAATGCGCTAGAAAAGTACGGTAGTCGAGGCCCGCAGTGACGACAGACTTAGTCACTACAGCCGTTCAGTATCTATTTACCCGAGCTCTTTGCAGTACCCTAAACCCTAAACTTCCTAAACCCTAAACTTCCTAAGCCCTAAACCCTACACTCCCTAAGCCCTAAACCCTAAACCCTACACCCTAAAGGATTACGGTCTCCGGCATCTTCCGAAACCTCCTTCAGACCCTGCAACACTGCCCCCCCCACCACCCCCCTCCCCCCAAAAAAAACAAACACTCCCTGCAACAGACACCCTGAACGGTTTTAGGGTTTAGGGGTTTGGGCCCGAAAACCCTAAACCCTAAAACCCTTAACTCTAAAACCCAAAGGCCCTAAACCCTAAACACTAAAAGCCCTAAACCCCTTTAAGGCCCAAAGCCTCAAGGACCAAAGTCCCACTCTGTGAGCTTCGAGCTTGAAGCGGGTTAGGATTCGGAGCTTTGTGGCATGGCCCTGTAGCGTCACGGTATATAGGGTTTAGGCTTTAGGGTTGAGGGTATAGGGTTTCGGGTATACCCTAGCACCGAAACCCTACACCCCATCAGCTAAAGCCTTATCCTTAACTCTCATAAACGTCCTGCTTCAGTGTTGCGGAGTTCCCGAAGATTAGCAAGCCGCGCCGTGCTCGGGTGAGCATGACCTGAGAGAGATTGTTCTTCTGAATGCTGTAAAAGCCTAAATAATTACCACTATTATTCCTTAAAGTTCCTTGTTATACTTATACCATAATATACTCCCAAAACCCTATTCTAATTAAATTCTTAAGGCCCTTATAATGAAGCGTTTCGGAGTCTTGAAAAGTTCTCATGTCTTACGGCCTACCCTTTGAGCCCTGAAGCTTCTCTTGAGGCTTGCACATAAAATATTGGGTGTGTGGCTTTCCCTTAGTGCTCTTAGGCCACATCTCAGAACTGTTTAAGCTTTAGTTATGCTGGGGCTTTTTTCTAGCTTTCACAGCTTGGGTTTCAAGTTTCGTCGTCCAGCGGCTTGCAGTTAACCCTAAACCCTAAACCTTAACCGTTTAACGCCCAAATTTGAGGGACTTCGGAGGGTGCTGGGTCAGAGGTCGGGGCTCCTCCCTCTCTCCGTCCCGCGTATCTGACTGCCTTTGAAGCCCTAAACCCTAGAGCCCTAAACCCTAAACCCTGAACCCTACAGCCTGGACCCCAGACCCTGATCTGAACCCTACACCCGGCCCTACATGCAAACACCAGTCTTTCAACCCGGAAGCCTCACTGAGTCTCGAGATCCGACATCCTACAGCAAAGGCTGCAGCAATCTTTCTCCCCCTCGGACATGGACGCCTAAGCTTAAGTCTGTAGGGTCTCAAGGGTGTTTTTGTCTGAACCCCAAAGCCCGGCTAGCCCTTGCTGGGGATGCGGCATTCAGGCGTCTCCAATCGGCCAAGAAGCCGACGTTACCTCGACTCTGAACAGGAAGAGGGGTTAGGGTTTGGGGCTGAAGGCCCTGCAAAGTAGGATCTAGAGGTGTATGGTAGCACCATAATCAATACGGTGGCCTGGATACCGTGAAGTAACCATGAGAAGGCTAGTACCCATGCTCTGAACCACAACAAAACGAGGCAGATCAATGACGCTTCTGAAGGCAAGGATCGAATTACTTGAGGGGATGAGCACGCGTTTGTCACGATCTGATAGCACGCTAGGACTTTTCGGTATTTTAAAGCACAACTTCCGAGTTCGAGGAGCTCCGCACCCGAAGTGCTCTTTGCAGTACACTGGGGAGGACAAATAGTCAGAACAGGGTTTGAGAGGATTTCCACACAAGGGCCTCATTGATTAGAACAATATGTAGGACAATTGTTACTACAAGCATACTGGGGCTATTAGGGGATGCTCCTCCTAGCATTCAGACCTCGTTTTTGTTCGGTCCCGCCGTGCCTTTGAGCCCACCGGCGGGAAGTCTCCCGGACCAAAGGTTCTGCCGGGCCCGAAGCCCCAACATCCAAACCCCTTGAGGCCTCAACGTTGGGCAAGGGCTCCTAAACAAGTCTCTTGATGGATTTTTTTGGGGGTTGATAAGGGTTTATACCGAGGTTCTTAATACCTTGTAAGAGGTTTTCTGCGGTTTCATACGAGGTCATAGAGGGGCTGTAAAGCCCGACAAGCAGGCCGGCAAACCTCTAGGGCCCAGGGTTTGCTTGGGAATCAGGGATCCAATTTTCGACGCTTCAGACCCCCTAGCCCATACCATCTACAGACTCTAAACCATAAACCCCCTAAAC